AGGGCCCAAGACGCTCCTTCAAATCACCCCACAGGCCTCTTGTCATGTTAAGCACTTTCCAGCCAGCACCTGGCTGGAGAGTTAGGGCACACCCACGTCAGCACCTGGCTGGACAGCAGGGACACATCTGCGTTAGCACCTGGCTGGACAGTTAGGATGTATCCGCGTTGCCGCTGGTTGGGGCGGTGTACAGTTATCGAGAAGCGCTTATCTGTAGAGCCCGGACAGAGGCTAAATACAGCACTGTAGGTAACAACAACATGTATGTATGTATGTAGCACTGTATGCAAGAAAAAGCATCGACTGCTGCAATTACATAAAGACTTACGCATTGCTGGCCGGTTCACGCGGCTCGTGCGGTGTCATGCGGTTCGGCTATCAGCAGCCCTCCGAAGATACGCAATGTTCACAACAGAAACTCGATAAGCGAATCGTCCAACGGTTAAGGCTAGCCATCCAGCCGGCAAGCAGCTAGTTTCTCAAAACGGAAAGCCGCAATTTTTGGTATATTTCGCACATTTTCGGAGCATTTCGTATAATTTTAGCGTGTATTTGTACACTACAGTTGCTCGACGTAAAAATATGCGATTTGCAAGTTCAAACAAGGACAGCTAAAAAACGCCGTTAATGTACAATCTACGACAAAAAACGCACGCAAGTTTGCCTGGATTGCTCATACATACACAACTTACACCAAGGCGTATATTATGATGGATGAAGACCATATCTGGCAACACAATCAACGACACCAAAGATTGCGTATGTTTTCCGCATTCTGTCAGTTCCCTGTACATGATGTGGAGTCAGTAGCCAAGCAAACTAGTGTTTTGACATATTTGCCCACTAGTTGAAGCACGGAAGGGCAGGATGCTCAACAAAGAAGGCTCAGTGCGTACAGGCCCAGAATTAAGCCGAGATGGCAAGCGGCGGAGAGCTTGAGGTAGGGCGTGTTACTTAAGGTATTTGGAACAATCAATTAGATCATTTGAAGCAACAATATTTGTGGAACAAACCAATCAATTGGTATACTCAAGAATGTTTTCAGCTGAACTGCACTATGCATAACAATTTGCCACAAATGCACATTTGCACACCATACGTGCAAGACATCTATTTCCCAGGATGAGATTCAGCCTGTCAGCAAACGTGGCTGAGACCATTCTGGGCCAAACAAGACCACAACTGGCTAATCGCAAAGGAAGGAGTAGAGCTTTGTTCCCACATGACCAATGTCTCCTTGCATTGAGGCAAATATATTGCCTGTTGACTTCTATCATGACTTACGAGCACCACGCTACACATGACTCCAAGCACTGCCCGCTAAAATCATTGTCTCTTTTGATGCACTTGGTGTCGCACAAAATGTTAATTGCAAACTGGTTTAAAGCTCCTGTTGTCCGCTATGCTTTACAAAGGGCTATTAAAAGTGATTTCTGAAACACCCACTTATTGCATATTAGCCACACGCTGCTGCTAGCATGTGCCAGTATGCTTTTCTCAGCACTTGAAATCCTTAGCACCAGCCAGCACAGCTTTGCCACTGCAATGTGGTAAATTGGAGCGTGTATCTAAGCTAATTTCGCTGCTGCCTTAATGTCTCGGTTATTTGCGACAGGAGCTTTTTATTTGTTCATTGGAGATGGACACGGGCCATCGAAAGCTTATGTTAGCCGCTGTGTTCATGGCGCCGCGTCAGCCTTGTTCCTGGCTTTTGGCAAAACGGTGGCACGGCCACTAGAGCGGCTCCAGCTGCAGAGAATGAAAGAAAAGTCATTGAGGATGCATGGGCTGCCCAACGTGATCGGTGGGTGATTCAGCGATTCCAGTTTCTGGAATGCATCTAATTTGGTTCCTTCCCCAGTACAATCCTGGTGGCTGGTTGCGATCACACATCATATATGGTTGACTGCAGACCTGTACCCCTGCTTGCGATTGATATTTAAGAACAGTGTAGAGATATCGGTGTGTCTTTTTCTTGCCACGTTGATTCGAAATGCCAATACATATATATATATATATATATATATATATATATATATATATATATATATATATATATATTGTCGCGCTAATTTGACATCTTGGCATGCTTATAACATATCCCTTTCGGCGTTCCTCTCCCTTGGGGGCTAAATGACTTTTTTAAGCATGATTTTGCAGTATACTACTGAAAATTCAGTGGCGTTACCCCAGAACAGAAATCGGTCTGTGAAAAAGCCAACGCAATGAGTTTAAGAACAAAAAAGAATAACGAAGAAAGCTCCCGGACTCGACTTGACCTTGAAATCTGGCGTACCGGCGGAGGGGTGGCCGACTGCACGTTCGTCTGAGATTAAATTATGCACCCCCAGAAAATATTGCCACCGTCATATATGGGTATTTTATCAAGGTGTTAATTTTATTTTTCATCGTTTCGTCTTACACATGGTGAGTGGTACCGCTATGACCACTGATCAGAGATATGCACGCCTGGTTGTTACCGAACAGGGCCTTTCCGACGAACGTCCATGCTTGAAGCTGGACACCTTAGCGGTACAGAAATGCTAGTACTAATATATCATGAGCTGGTGCTCATGTACAGGTTATTAGTTGCGTTCATGTTAACTGCTCTGGAACACGGAAACATTGGCTCGGGTTGTGCCACCCACATCGCGGTGCATGAAACGAAATGAAGCATAAAGTTTCGCTTAACTTTCCTTTGCCAAAAAAGATTCCACCACCAACTCCGTACATCATTCGCTCTTTCAGCATCTATGGGGGAGGGGGTCACCTAGCTCTTGAATAAAGCTCATTTGGAAAGCAAAATATTTAGGTACCAACGACCTCCGCGCCCCCCCCCCCCCCCCACTCCACGTTATGGTACCCAGCGTCTCAGGTGACAGGGGCCGGTGGACCGCGCATTTTTTCTGAGTTTACCACAGATGCCTTCCGACTGTTAAAACACCCGTGAGGCGAACTTATCCCGACCCCCGCACCGTTAGGAAGACCTGGTCGCGCCCCTTGATACACCTATGCATGCGAAAAACCTTTACGGTCGGAAGGTTTTGCGGATTCCTCTTTGAGATGAAAAGATGCATAATCGAAGGAGTCTAAAAAATCAGGACACATTTTCTAACGTCTGCACCGCCAAGCCGACGTCAACGCAGCCTGTGTTTTGGATCAGCCCTCCCTTGAACATATGAGTTTTTGTCATTGTTGGGGCGAGGGGGGGGGCGTCAAAACACGAATGGTGGTCGCATCCGTGGTCATATTTCGTTAGCAAAACGATGTGAACATAGAATGGCAAAACAATATTTTCTAGGATGTATTTACGGCATTTACATCAACGTGACGGTACTTGCCAGCATAGAAAATGTATATATATATATATATATATATATATATATATATATATATAAATGGGAGTGTTCCATATTTGTACGGGATTTTGAAGTGAAATAGCCATCTTGAAGATCATTTGGTGCAGTTCACAGCCCTGCCCTTTCAAGACCTAAGCCCCTCTAGTTTTCGAGCTACACGCCCGCGAAGGTGTGCAGACTTTTTCGCGGAGACTATTTCAACGTCACCCAAGGCATTCATGTCGCCATAATAACGTTATGACAAGTCAAGTCAAAGGGTGAATGGCTTTTATTGCATTAGCCTGCCTGGTTATCACGAGAAATGAGCTCAAATCCAGAAATAAACAAACTACGGCAAAGGGAAGACAGGGTGGGAAAGGCCTTCAAAAGATGTAATACATGCGACATTAAAACATTAATTGTACGTCTCAGAATGGTCAAATCTGGTAACAACAGCCCGAGCTGGTTCTAGCCTGACATCTGATGATCTGAACGTAAAGAAAAACCAGGGTTTTAGTAGAAGATTAATAATGATGCAACTAAGACGCGCAGACTAGAAAATCTCCGACTATAGTAATGTATTCGGTGCGATACAGCTAAAAATCTCCTCGTAGTATCCTTCCTGCGGGAAGCAGTTGTTAATGGGCCCTTATGAGGATAATGGATCAATATGATTCACATTACCCACATGTTACCTATACTATGCGGTAGCAAGAGGTCATCGCTGACGAACTGCCATTTTCGGAAGCTGCAAATTTAAATCACGTGGCTGACATGTCGTAAACTCAGCCAGTCAAATTTCAGCACCCTTCTCCAAACCGCACAGAAATAGTTACGGCAGACCGTAGGGATGGAAACGGGGGGGGGGGGGAGGGGACCTGGGGTCTACCTCGCTAGGCCGGGGATAAAAGACAACTAGCTTTCCGCCAGCCGTGACCGGCGTCGCATGGTCATGAATGGCATGATAATCATTGGGAATAATAGGCTGCGCGGACTAGCATCGGAGAAGTTGACTGCTGAAGGAGAATTATTTTCTCCAAAATTTGGAAGTTAGAAATATTTTAGCCTTACCAACTGGGTTCAATCTGCCATCTATGTTGTAAGGGACCTTGTGGAATCTTGCCCCGATGTAAGTGGTCAGGCGCAAGGCACTGCACCTAATGTGCTTCTAAACAACTGTCTGCTCGCAACATACACCAATGGTGGTGACAGGTTTTTGAGGGTTGGATGCACGATTGGCTGTGGTGAGGTGGGCTCCAAGTTAGGAATGTGAAACAGCTACATCCAAATATGTGTGATACGAATCATCTGCAATAATCGCTCCGGTTACGTACATTGTATAAGGCATTTCCCATACAGGCAGGCAATGGATATTTTTTCCAGAGCGCTTCCGTTAGGGACCTTTGACATTCAACGCGGTTGCAAATGAATGCCAATTTGGCGATCCAGGCATACATTAATCTATGGTTCTGGCAAGCATGACGTTCCTCATTCGCAGCATGGCAAAATCAGGCAAAGAAAGTAAGGAGACAAGGAAGCTGATACAAGCACTCAAAATACGCAAATGAAACAAAAAGGCACACTTTGTTTAGACCTTGTAAACAGCCATCAACCAGCGCCTCAGGTGCATATGCCGTGTGCTAGATAGTGCGACTCACTCACCTTTTTTAACTTGTCCTTTGGGCCGGGGTGCCGCTACCTTGTACGAAAGGTCATTGAACTCTATGGTGACTGGTTGTGACTGGGGTAATTTGCTAAACATTGTGACGGCCTTCTGACTTGCAGTCGATCTGTGGAACGGAAGGCAATCGTTTCATCAGCAAATAGAACGGTAAGGTTTTGACGACACAACTAATTGAAATACACGGAAGTGCAGGCCACCCAGTGAATAGGCATACATGCGACGTTGCTTTATATCGAAAACAGATCAGGGTCTATGGGAAATTCAGCGACGTGGGTATATCTATCCATACAAACACAAGTATACGTAATACCGCTGGCAATGCATGCCAGGAGGAGGGAAACGAGGGACTCATGCTAAGGGGACTCAAACTGAGCAACCACGGCTATGGTTAACGAGGAACGCACATTATTCCACCCGATAGAACTTGAAATAAGAGCTGGCCACTGTCAATGCCGGCCTGAAATCTGGCCTCATCAGCGGGATTTTGCCACGGGTACAGAACAGGGGACGAGAGAATGTCAGGCTTCCCAATCTCGTCAGGCGTTTTGTGCCACGTCACACCCACATGCGCTACATGAAATACACAGAATTGAGAAGACGTTTTCCTTTCCTTTTAACAGCATCCATATTAAAAGCTTTGCCTGCCATCGGAAACGACCAAGAGTACCTAACCCGACGCTATCGATAAGGCTTCACATCTCAGCGACTCGCCCGTGCCGACTCCCAGCCGGTCACAGAAACACGCGCTTCAGGGCAGTCCTCCGAAGTCTCACACGATCCGGCGGTCACCTATTGCCGGCACAAAACTGGTTTATAATCGTGAATAGCCCAACCCAGTGAAATGAAAGTGGAAGCCAACCCGACCGGCTGGGATAGGGCCGCGCGGGCTCCGATCCCGTGGTGTGGTTCGGGCTCAGCCCAGCTGGCTCCGGCGGCAGCTGGAACGCACAGTCTGAGACGAATGTCATCCTGTCACGGTCTCAGACGTACGCCATCATGTCACAGTCTCAGACGTACGCCATCTTGTCACAGTTTCAGATGTACGCCATCATGTCACGGTCTCAGGCGTACGCCATCATGTCACAGTTTCAGATGTACGCCATCCTGTCACGGTCTCAGACGTACGCAATCCTGCGACGGTCTCAGACGCATGCCATCCTGTCACGGTCTCAGACGTACGCCATCCTGCCACGGTCTCAGACGTACGCAATCCTGCGACGGTCTCAGACGCACGCCATCCTGTCACGGTCTCAGGCGTATGCCATCCTGTCACGGTCTCAGACGTACGCCATCATGTCACAGTCTCAGACGTACGCCATCATGTCACAGTCTCAGACGTGCGCCATCTTGTCACAGTCTCAGACGTACGCCATCATGTCACAGTCTCAGACGTACGCCACGCTGTCACGTTCAAGCCTCTATCGACGCACGCCAGCCTCTGGGTGGTCTCTGATACGCGACTTCATTCCGGTCCACAGGAGATCAAAAGCATCTCGTTCGGCTGCGTGCAGTAAGATCACGCTTGGCATGGGACGACACCCCTAAGGAACGATTGTCAGTTCTAATTTAACCACACGAATGCTGGTAAGTTTCACGCTAGGAAAAAAACAGACACGTCTCGCTCGGTAACGGCACCAGCGCCTGTTTGCAAACCCAGCCCAACCAGACCGCGAAAGACGATAGGTGCGCCGAGTAGTCGGCAGATAGCTCACACATGTGACGTCTTAAATCCACACGGCAATCACACAGCTGCACCCACTCGAACCAGACACATGCAGCGAAGGCGGGTCACCTCGGGGAAACTTTGACACGACCTCCATTCAGCGAAATTTGAACACGTTGGTCAACCTGATCAAGGATTGCTGCGGCAGTGCTGTCTTCTGAAGGTGAGGTAAAAAGGTTCTGCACGTCGAGCCAGGTCATACATTGGTCACATCGTGTGAACTATTCGCCAGTACTTACTCATGCGGTTACGTATTTTACAGTCACTGCATACAACCGCGGCATATGGCGATTGCCTGAATCCTCCACATGGCCGCACTTTCTGGTTGACCCGACACACACACTCCAGATGGCCGCACTTTCTGGATGACCCGACACACACACTCCAGATGGCCGCCATTTGCAACTGCCGGACGCATTCCTAGTTCTCGAGTGAAAACAGCTACGCTTTCTTTGAGCATAAAAGGCTGCGCAGGGGTACAAAAAAAAAACGCTATTTCGTTTTCACCGACATGGGGTTCACTTCACGGATTAAATTTCTAGGATCCAGTCCAGTCCAGTCCGGCCTGTCCAGATTCAGTCCGCCAATCCGCTTTCCCCAATTTATAAATTCAATCCCGTTCGGTCCGACTCACGAGAAAAATGCATCAGATCAATCCGTGCCGATCAATTTCCACATCAAACGGAGTGTACGACATTTGTATGAGGCTTTGAACTGAAATATCCGTATCAAAGATCTTATCACGGAGATGGAAAGATATTATACGGAGTGTTCGACATGTATGAGGCTTTGAACTGAAATATCCATGGTGAAGATCATTCAGGGCAGTTCACACACCCCGGCCTTTTTAAAGGGTGTGTCCCACCTTTCGAGCATATTTCAAAAACATAACCTAGTGGAAACTCAGTACTAGTTACATCCAATCAGAACACTGGGTAGTGTCATTGCCGCACCATCAGTATATAATGATATCAATTGTAGTTATTTTAGGGTCCAAAGAACGCTCTTAACGCATTGTGACAGCAATATGCTTCTTCCCTGCAATCGCGATCATCGTCGTCATGACACCCGCCGTGCGCATCTCTGCTCGTGCGAATAAAAAAAAAACGTTTGTGGTTAACCCAGCGGGCAAGAAGCTTCTACTACTGAGAAGCGCACTGGTTGAAGTTTAAACCAGTGCGTCACATGGATCATGTGACACTCCATTACCAAAACTAAAGTGCACCTCGAAAAGAGTCACTGTGGTGAACGCCATGGCGGAGAAATCAAACCCACGATGTAACGTTTCGTTGAATTCACGGGATAATAGCTTCAGGTTTGGTCATCTTTTTGCCGTAACAGAGTGTTTCAAGCTTTCGTTACATATATTACACAACACATTCTGATATATTAGAGTGTTGCAAACATTACAGAACACACACGCTGCAAAAAGCAAGGCAAATGAAATGTAATGGTTTTATGGTCGTGAACGGGAAGTCGAATTAATTTTTCCCCCGCGGGGTCACATGCTTCGAATAACAATTCTGAGCTATTCAGATCAGTTTTGAGAAAACTGGTGTACCGCTCAAATCGTACGCGTCTGATGTAACGGTAAGTGAAAAGTAAACAAGGGGTGAAATACTCCCTTCAAGACGTAATCACTTTATTTTCTGAGCTACACAGCCGCGAAGATGTGGAGGCTTCTGTGGGGAGACTATTTCAAGGTCATTCTGGCATCCATAACGCCAAAATAACGTCATTCAAATCCCATCATTCCATTAACCATGCAGCTATTCAAGCCGAAAATATAATTCCTTCGCTTTGAGTCGTTCATGTCTGCCGTCCGTGAGCGCGACTTCCAGATAGGACGGCCGTCAATATTCACTACACAAAGAAACTGGGCTGTCTAGAACAGTCTTTTCCACTTAAAAGTACACCAATAGTCACAAGTAAACTCATTTAATCAGGTATGATGCCTGCTTTAACATCTCGCAATGTGAAACATCCACCTTAAGGTGTTGCAGAATCTCAAGAGCAACTTTTGTTAGTTTTAATATTAAATTTAAATTTTTCTTTAAATTCCATTGAGAAGATGTGCAATAAGTTGCTGTAAGCCCGTGGGTGCTAAAATACTAAATATAGCTTGTTGCCTATTGGCAATGCAATTTTGCACAAAGATCAGAACAAGGCCCATCATATTGCTATGTAATTATATCACAATTATTGGACGAAAGCTCACAAGTACCACCATATCGCAGGAGCCAAAATCGTTTCTGGTCCAATAACCTAAAGGCATGAGCACTTTGTCCAGCATTTTCAGACTCCAGTTAGGTGCAACATACCTATACTTGCCACTCGATAGTTTGAGCGGCACCCAATTTACAAGCATAGGGCAAACCCCATCTAGTACGCTACGCCTTCCAAAAATCTAAGATGACCATCTCATCTCATATAAGATACTCCAGGTGTGCATCGGTTTTCGGACACACCAACTGATGAAATAGTGGAAACTGCGACCATAGTTTCCTGCTAAACGACCGGCTGCAACACAATTATCGTCCACATACGGGACTGCCCACTAGTGCCAGCCAAAAAAAGAAAGATCGGATGGCACTTAGTCAAAGTGTGGAACGTCTCTTGTGCGTCGTGAGAGCCCCAGAGTCATACGCAAACGTGACTTAACAGAAACTATAGTGTTGCGATGGAGCTATGTTTTTATTTTTCTCAGACAGGAGCTTGTTTTTCAAAACTCGGTGGTGTGCTGCCTACCAACGAAACATGCTCCTGCCCAGTTTTTCAACTCTGAAATGCAACATCACCTACAATGTTAAATGGGGTTGTTGACAAGATCAGGAAGGCTGGTAGCTGTGCTATTGTGAAGTATGCTATTAGACCATTGAATATTTATGTTACCTTGGGAGGAATGAGAGCTCTAGATTTCCTATAGTATGCAAACATGAGTGCCACTCATTCTTTTCAAGTTGTCTATGTGATATATTCATCAGATTTTGTTTGTGAAATATGTGGCTGAGTTATGCTGTACGTAGCCTGTTTGTACCTTGCTGTGTTTTACTGGTTAAAAGTCCTTTTCTGAGTTGATGTCCTCATTGAGCAATACATGGAATATTTAGGAATAATTTCCATTTTATTGTTTTTCAACCATTCAATCTACGTGGCCTTGAAATTTGGAAATCCGGCCAGGTGGTGATCCACGCTTTGGTAAAAATATAATAAAATGAAATCTCATTGCATATATATGGTACTAAAGCGATGATACAATGACATTACGTCAGATATGATGACATCATATAACATATGATGGGCATCATATCTGATGATTACGTTTGCTATTAGGTTCCTCTGGAACCCAGGAACCACAAGTTTTGACGGAAGTAAGTTCATAT